GTGAGGGAGTCTCCCTGGTAGCAACCTAAGACAGGCAGGTCGCCAAAGCGCGGTCCTAGCCCATGATGGGTAAGCACCAGTCAGAGACTCCCCAACCTAAGACAGGCACGGTTCCCTTAAGGAGTATCTACCTTGACCCTTGTCTTTTAAAGTTATTAAAAAAAAGGGGGACCTGTGGGAAGCACTGGCTTCCACAGACAGGCCTGAGAATTATGACCTGCCCATGAGGCAGAATTGCTGCAATCATCAAACTCTGACCCAGTTAAAGTTTAAACCAGATGGCTCTGCAAAAACACGTTTTTCTGCCCTAACCTTTCGCTGCTCCTGGGAAACTTCCTTATCCTGTAGATCAATCAGGTCTTGTGGTTTAACTGCCGGATTTGCTCAACCCAGAGGAATTTGCCACTGTCCTCTTCCTCATTTCTCTTCCCTTCCCCTCCCTATAAAAACTTAAACTACCTGTTCAATAAATGAGACTTGATCAGAACACTGTCTTGTCTCCATTTCTCGTGTCTCTTGCCCCATTCAATCCCTGCTCCTCATTCCAGGTACCTCATTGTAGATCCCATGGGCCAGGACATTCCTAGTGCCCAACGTGGGGCTGGAAACTGAGGCAGCAGTGAGGGAGACGACAAAAAGAAGAAGGAGCGTGCTCGCTAGACACTAACCTACTTTGGGACCACGGCGGGAATGGCTAAAACTGAAAGTAAGTGGAATCGTCCAATTATGGGGCTGCTCCTCATTCCAGGTACCTCATTGTAGATCCCATGGGCCAGGACATTCCTAGTGCCCAACGTGGGGCTGGAAACTGAGGCAGCAGTGAGGGAGACGACAAAAAGAAGAAGGAGCGTGCTCGCTAGACACTAACCTACTTTGGGACCACGGCGGGAATGGCTAAAACTGAAAGTAAGTGGAATCGTCCAATTATGGGGCAAGAATTGAGCCAGCATGAAGTGTAGGTTAAACAGTTAAAAGAGGCTTTAAAGATACGAGGAGTAAAGGTTAAAACCATAGACTTGTTTAGATTTTTTGATTTTGTCAAAGAGACGTGCCAGTGGTTTCCCCAAGAAGGGCTAATGGATTTAAAAAGGTGGAAAAGGTTTGGCAATGCCTTAGAGGACTACTATAAGGTCTTTGGCCCTGAAAAAATCCCAGTCACAGCATTTTCTTATTGGAATCTCATAAAAGAATTAATAGATAAAAAGGAGGTGCCTACTCAGGCTGCCATAAAGCAGACTGAGGACATCTTGAGGGGCAACCCCTCCGCTAAACCCGAGGGGGCCCAATCTGCAGAGATTGATCTCATTTCGCTCAACAGCGATGAGGAAGAGCAAACCAAAACACCCAAAGACAAGCCCAGGGACGATCCGCAGCCAGCTCCCAAAATTTCCGATCCTAAAATGGAGGCTGGTGGTGACACGCCTGTTCGCCCACGCCGCCCTCCCTATGCACTCCCCTCGGCCCCTTCAACCCTTGAGGCCTTTCCCATCATCCCCCCTACTGATCATCTTGAGGCCGAGATAGATCAATTGCAGCGCGGCATTAATCTTGAGCGCTGCCGCCAGGCCCTAGTCGAGGAGCTTCAATGGCTCTCTGTTCAGGATCCTCTGGATCCTACAGGGTCAGTCAGGCTTCCATCTCAATCAAAGAGGGGCGCTCCTTACCCGATTCCTCACTGAGTGCTTTTCCTGTCACTGAGGTAAAAGGTAATGATGACCGCCCCTTGCCGCACCACTCTCGTTTCGGGTATCAGGTGATTAAAGAACTTGAGACTGCAGTCTCTCAGTATGGAGCCACAGCCCCCTACACCCTGGCCATCCTGGAAGGGGTGGCTGAGCAGTGGTTGACGCCCATTGATTGGAATACCTTAGTGCGGGCGGTTCTTAGCGGAGGTGATTATTTACTGTGGAAGTCTGAATATTCTGAAAATTGCAAAGAAACTGCAAAAAGAAACCATAGAGCAAGGAATGGGTGGGACCTTGATATGCTCATTGGCGCTGGAGAGCATGACTCCACTGAAATGCAGATGTTATATGAGCCTGGCCTGTTTGCTCAAATCCAGGCAGCAGCCATAAAGGCCTGGAAAAGGCTCCCTGATAAAGGGGATGCAGGGGCATCCCTCACCACTGTAAAACAGGGCCCTGATGAACCTTTTGCTGATTTTGCCCATCAGCTCATTACCACAGCCAACAGACTGTTTGGCAGTACTGAGGGCGGGCTCGAATATACTGTTAAACAATTGGCCTACGAAAATGCCAATCCCGCCTGCCAGGCTGCCATTCGGCCCCACAGGAAAAAGGCTGATCTCAATGGCTACATATGGCTGTGCTCGGACATCAGCACTTCCTATCAACAGGGACTTGCAATGGCCGCAGCCTTCAGCGGCCAAACGGTCCGAGATTTCTTGGCTAATAAAGATAGACCCAAGCAAAAGGGATGCTTTAAGTGTGGAAAGCCCAGACATTTCTCTCGGGATTGTAAACAGGCACAGGAGGGCATAAAGGGCAATGCTGATAAAACGCCAGGCCTCTGTCCCCAGTGCAAGAGAGGGAAACATTGGGCAAATGAATGTAACTCCAAAACTGACATCCAGGGGACCCCTCTGCCTCCACGCCAGGGAAACGGCTAGAGGAGCCAGCCTCAGGCCCCGACACAAATAACTGGGGCAATCAACTTGGTCCCTGCAGGCAACAACAATCCAGTTCAGACCTCTGCAGAGCCACCCCAGGGAGCGCAGGACTGGACCTCAGTCCCACCTCCAACACAGTATTGACCCCGGACATGGGACTGCAAAAGATAGGAACCGGTGTCTACGGACCCTTGCCGCCCAACACCTGTGGCTTGGTCCTTGGCAGAGGCAGTTCCGCCCTTAGAGGATTATCTATAGTGCCTGGAGTAATTGATTCAGATTATACTGGGGAAATCCAAATTCTGGCTAAGGCAAATGATGGTGTCTTTTCTTTATCTCAAAAAGATAGGATTGCTCAGATAATTCTGGTTCCCCTTATTACCAGCCCCAACCCTGTTCAGGGCACTGCCCAGGCATCTCAGAATTTTGGCTCCTCTGATTCTTACTGGGTTCAAGCAATTACTCACAAAAAACCTACCTTAACCCTATGGTTAGAAGGGAAAAGTTTTGAAGGGCTTATTGATACTGGTGCAGATGTCACCATTATTGCCTCTGATGCCTAGCCATCCAACTGGCCCACCTCCGACACAGTGACAAACTTAAGAGGCATAGGCCAAAGTCATAATCCCAAACAGAGCTCTAAACTCCTCACCTGGAGAGACTCTATGAATAATTCTGGTCTGATTAAGCCTTTCGTTGTCCCCCACCTGCCAGTCAACCTCTGGGGACGAGACCTTTTGTCACAAATGGGAGTGATGATGTGCAGCCCTAATGACACTGTCACTGCACAGATGTTAGCTCAGGGATTTTCTCCTGGAAAAGGATTGGGAAAAAAGGAG